TTATTGTTAATATTACTGTTGAATATTATATATAATATTATTAAGGCATAAGTAGCTTTCAAAAATGCTAAAAATATATGTTAATTGTTCATATTACTGTTCAAAATTATATAATATTATAAAGACAGAAATCACTTTAAAAATATGTTTACTGTTGATATTACTGTTTAATATTGTGTTAAGAATGTTTATAACAGAAGACACAATCAATGTAATGAATGACAAACAAAAGATAAATACAAAAAATGTTTAGAAGAATAACTAATTATTAATTATTAATACAAATATATATTAAGAAAATGTATTAAGCTGTATGATTAATTTGTCATATTTTCCATCATAATGTACTCATCCTTTAAAAAAAAATTGCAGTGGGGTCCCCACCAGACGATAATGCTATATGGGGTCCTTGGCATGGCAAAGTTTGGGAACCCCTGGACTAGTCGGCTAGTTGTTACGTCATAATAAAGACACACAAAGGTGGTGTAACTGACGATATGAACAATTTTTTCCGAAACAAAACACAAGTCTAACTCTCTGAATTAGCACTAAGCGAAAAACGCACTTAGCACATAACAGAATTTTTTTTGTTTTAAATATATTTTAAGATCATGTTTAATCATCTGATTCGTCTGTACATTGCTGTTTTAGTATGTGTTCTTCTAATTAGTGTCTACAGTGTGTGCCTATTGAGCTGTTTAGAGCCATGTGGGACAAAACCCGATCCTGCCCCTCCCTCTCACTGTCTAAGTGAACGGTGACTGTAACAACTACACTGCTCAGAGTATTTTCCTATTTAATGTGTGTAGCAAAAAATAATGACCATAGGGGCATAGAGCTGCCATCCCCACCATACGTCATCTCACATAATTCAGAGCTGATTGGCTGTAAGTACGTGTGCCGCGAAAAGTGTGGTGTGTGAAGAGCAGGTGAAGAGGAGGAGAGAGACGCGTCCTAAAACTAAGAAGATAAGGAGGACTTTTATAAAAAAGTAAGAGATTTTTGTCCAGAAGGATAGGCAAATGGACTTCATCTTCAAGTCAAGGTAAGACCACAATTTTATTGAAAATGGGATCTTACTAAGAGAGAACAATTCAATATTTAAATGATAAAATTACATTTTTTGGGTATCCTTCTGTTGAACTGTCTGTTTAAAATTAATTGAAGCATCAGACAAAAAAAGCTTTTGAAATAGTATTATATTTTGATTTAGGTCAAAATATAATATTTGTAAACCTGAGTGTATTTGCCAGTGCCTCACCAGCCATGAACCTCACTGCAGAAGCTTATATATAGACATCTAAGTTTGTTGTGCCCCATCACTTTTGTACATATAGAAACGCCACTGGTGACTGTACCTGCAGTTCCTCCCTGACTTCCATTACTTTCTCTCTCTCTCTTTCCCTCTGCCTGTCCTGTCTCTTCCTTACCAAAGCTGAGCTTCAACTGACGAAGTCTTTTCATTATATCTGAGTCAGTGTAAAAAGAAAACAATACAATGTTATATCTTCAATGTTTTACTCAAATTGAAATGAAAGAAAAGCATTACAACGTTTGTTAAAATGTAATCCTTCTGACATTGGATGAATGTAATTAACTTTGGCTCTCTAGCTAGTTTATTCACGCAATTTAAACCAAAGTATAGCCTATAGCTGCAATATAAGTTAGTGTGCATGTTGTCGGACGTCCACTGACTAACGTAGAGCGTTTACAAAGTATCTGCCGGTCATATGATGTCCTGATGAACAGAAACACAAGCAGCCCGCTGGACTCAGATCTATACCTCATCACTCCTCCGCTGCTCCGGTACAAGTCCGGGCTGCGGTGGTTTGTTGATACCATAGACCAGTGGTTCCCAAACTTTTTGTGCCCAAGGCACACCAAAGGACAAGTAAAAATCTCAAGGCACACCTATTGTGCAAAATAGCCCTTATAACACGTGTTATCACTCATATCATGTAAAATATCTGTAAATGTGCATAATTATTTACTAATGCCAAATAAAATGTGACAAAGACAACTATATTACTCATGAAATATTTATTAATGAAATATTTCAGAAATGTATTTGAAACTTTATCAAATTAGGTTTCATCAAAGCAGCAACACACTCATTTAAACCAGACAGGTCACAAAATTAACATTTCAGCAATCAGCATTGAAACATGTGCTATTGTAAATATTTTTGCCGACTTACAAATGATTGAGATACATGTGCCTGTCGGGGCGCGCAGAATTTTTTAATCCTTGGTGGCACTGAGGAGAGGGCCACTCGCAAGTCCTGTTCAACAGAGAGCCGTGAGTCCCGTGACCTCCTGTTGTTCTTCATGTAAATCAGAGTAGAGAATGCCAACTCCAGAGATGGGGTCCTTACCAGCAGGCGGCGGTAGTGTGTATTTGTCATTCAAAACAGGCAACAACCGGAAAACAGAGAAGAAGAACAGACGACGTGATATAAACAAACAACAAATAGCTGTGCGGTAGCTTCACCTTAGCATGTGTTCTTTGCAGGTGTTTGTTGAGGTTTGACGTGGTGTTTACAGCAGTGGATAATAGCTTCTGGCCTGGACACAGTTTTGCACCTCACCGTCACATTCCTGTCTATTCTTCAGACGAACTCAAAATAATGGGCATACCTCCACCCCCTCGAGAGTTATCGCTGACTCAGCCATGTTTATGCAGCACTGCACGTGGAGATGTGGACGCACAAGTCGCGCAGATTACGTACATATAAACCTACAAAGTACTGATATTATAGTAAATAAAAAAAGTATTATTTATGTGTAGTTGTATATTGCAATAATAACGTATGGTTGTCACAAAATCCCACGGCACACCCGGACTTGCCTCACGGCACACCGTTTGGGAACCACTGCCATAGACTGTTGATACATGTCGTCTTCTTCTGTTTGCTTTAATCGAGGCTACGTAGTTATGCAGCACCCCCATCGGCAGGAAATGGAAGTACTACAAATAACCCCTTTTAGTGCAGTTATTTTACAAGTTTAGTTATATACACAGCTCGGAAAATATTACCGAGGTCCGGACCTCAATGGTGGATACGGCCATGCCAAGGATGCATACAGCTCATCCCCCCTTCCTCCCCTGGGCAATTCTGATCACAACCTGGTTCACCTCCAGCCTGTGTATCAACCTCTGGTCTACAGACAGCCGGTGCCCACACGCACCGTGAAGAAGTGGTCTGAGGAGCCTGAAGAGGCCCTGAAAGACTGTTTTGACTCTACTGCGTGGGATGTGTTCACTGACTCTCACGGGGAGGACATCAACAGCCTTACAGACTGCATCACGGATTACATCAACTTCTGTGAATGTTGTTTTGTGTGGTAGAGGGTCGCTGTCATTGATGCGTTTTGCACCCTGGGCCGCTGTTTTGATATTCCACTGAAGTATACACTGTGACGTAATAACTCTTCTTTTTTTTCGAGGGAGGGGGGGGGGGGGGGGGCATCAGGGCAGCCTCTGCAACCTTAAAAATGAATTAAGTCGGCACGGCGGCCCACATTGAAAATGACTTAGGCCTACCTTTGATGATCAAATCACTGAAGCACAAAGTCCATCCTCCTGTCCTTTTGGATGAAGCACTTGATGGCGGGTCATGCAGCTGATCCTTTGCCACTCCAGTTTATCATTGTAACTCACTCTTGAAAATAACTCGGTTAATAATTTCGCAACGATGTCCTCACTATCACGAAGTGAGCCATCATGAACGAACTTATGCTAATCATAAATCTATCGATTAGAAAATTATAAAAGTAGGGTAGACATGTGGATATTATCCGGCTGAACAAAACGTGCATTAATCTAACAGGTTCGTTTTCCACAGATCTTATTTCGAGCTATTTTCCATAATCCTATGGAGAAATCCCATTGCTTTTGTGTCGAGGGAATCCGAGCGCAGCTTATTTCCGGGGGGGGGGGGGGGGGGGGGGGGGGGGTCAGAGGGCCTAGGTATAAAAGTCACGGCTCACCACTGCATTACAGTAATAATAATATTAGATTATAATTATTACCAGTTACTTTCTTATCTTCATTTAAAAAAAAGAACACACACAATTAACAGACATATTCAAGTTTTACTCAAATGAATTTTAACAATATATGACAAACATATAATGATAACGTTATAATTAACCTTCACCCAATTAACTGAATAGAGCTTGAACACATCATAATGCATATTCCACCAGACAGGTATTATGATAGGTATAGATCACAAGAGAGTGGAAAGGCCCATTATACCAGGAATGGACCTCAGAACTGGGTATGTGCACAGAACATCCTGCAGCCTATTTACAGAGGTATACTAAATATGGAATGTTCATTACTATTTACTCACTACAGCTGAACCAGTGAACACACCTTTGCGGGCATTGAGAGTTAAAACACAGGGGCTTCTTATGGCGCGTTTCCACTGCAGGCCTCGCTCGGTTTGGTTAGGCCTTATTAGGCCCGGCTCACTTTAATGCTGCGCTTCCATTACAGTTTAGGAACTGGGGTAGTTACTATAGTAACGCAGTGTAGGCGGAGCTGTGACGTCATCTTCAATGAGCGCCCCAGAATTGCAACACAGCCGTTAGCTCTTAGCACTCAGAGCTCACAGCTCTTCATATCTGTTCAGAAACTAGACAAAAGTTAAACAAGTACAAACCACAGACCGTCTGTGTCATGGAGAATACAGTCGCTGGTTTATTTATGTCTGTATAGGCCGTTGTTGTGAGTGTGGACGGTCGGAGCATATATAACGTTAGCTTAGCCAAGCTCCATTTAGAAAACACGCATTTTAAAAGGGTTTTTCGCCTGCCGTCTGTCCGCAGACTTGTCAAAGCGTTAATTCATGGTTTTCACTAACCGGTATCAGTATGTTGTTACTTCGGCATCATTTTGAAACGTGTATTACAATTAAATCACGGTCAAATATGTTCATCTTGTAGTAGTTGTAGCCCCCTTGCCAGCGATTCTCTCTCTAGTTTAGCATATTCAGCCCGACTCAGCCTGGTTGTTCCTGGCCCTAGAACCACGATTTTATGGGGCCAGAAAAACTGTGAATTAGGACCCGCTAGCCGGTACTAGGCCAAGTGGAAACACAACCAAAAACGCGAGCTACCCGCTGCAGTGGAAACGCGCCATTATAGTGCTAGATACAGTGTGTGATGGTGGACATACAGAGACAGATCTGTAGAGAGAAGGACTGCAGGAGGGGGGGCAGTGCAGCAGAGGGAACATCCTATGGTTTTACCTTATAACTTATAAAGACTATGAGACATACATCTGACTAATGTTCATAACATTTCATGTTTAATAATTTTCCATCCACTGTACATTACTTCCTTATTATTTTCCACTCTCCTGCCATAGTTCAGGGATTGTGCTGCAAGTCAACAAAATCATCAAAGACCTCAGGTAGCTGCACACCAGAGGTTTTAGAAGTATTCAGATCTTCTACTTAAGTAAAAGTAGATGTACCAGAGTGTAGGAATACTCTGTTGCAGTAAAAGTCCTGCACTGTATTAGCTTCAGAATATAGTAATATAATAGAATAAAAGTAGTCATTGTGCAGATTGGTCCATTTCAGAATAATATATATGATATGTTTTATAATTATTGATCATCAAAGTGTTATCAAAGCTGGTAAAGGTGCAGCTAGTTTGAATGACTTTGTGACTGGGTGTGCTCTTTCATTGGCCGAGAGTGAGCGGGAGCTGCCACAGCAGCAGAGTGTTCTCAGTGTCTGAGCAGGGGGGGGCCCCAGGTCCCATCCTGCGGGACCCTTTGCCCCCGGAGAAGATGGCTGTGGAGGTGACTTTGCCGCGCCTGGCCTCCCGCTCCTTCCCCCGCTCCATGGGCCGCCCCCTTACCCACACATCAGGGTCCTCACTAACCTCATAGATAGAGCCATCCTCTGGGCTGTGCTCTGAGGAGTCTGGGAGGGGCTGGGGGTTCCCCTGGTCAGGCTGTGCTGTCAGCAGCCTGCCGGGCAGCTGTCGGGTGGAGTGGAGGCGGTACTGCAGTAGGAGGCGGGGCTTCTCCCTGGGTGAAGGAGCTTCTGCGTCCTTTGAAGAGCTGCCCTGATGCAACCTTTGCCCCCCTTCATCCCCTCCCCCATCCACTTTATCCCACCCCACTTCTCCGTTGACACCCTCCTCGCAACCGTTGAGGATGGAGTTCCGCCTGAGCAGGTCGGGGGCCAGAGTGCTGGACGTAGCCACCAGGACGTCCACCGGACCACAGTGAGCGTTCAGAGACATCATCCCCTTACCTGGGGGTTCAACAGTTCTGAATGTTACCTGGGGGGGCAGCCTGTATAGTAGTTTCCGCAGTGTATGAATTTGTGTGTGAATCTGTAATCTGTCTGTTCTACTCCCTGTTAGTGCTGTCTATCTGGCAGTGAGTACATTAGTCAACACAGGTATAAGTTGGGTATATAAAATATAAGTATAAGATTTGTTTGTAATTTGTGGGACAGTGGATGTTGCAATCAGATCTACAACAGGTCTCTTGGAGGATAATAATGTCTCCATTTTGTGTGCTCTCTTTAAATTCATGTAAAATAATGTATACCCTGGATGTTCCACATAGAGTTTGTGTGTGTGTGTGTGTGTGTGTGTGTGTGTGTGTGTGTGTGTGTGTGTGTGTGTGTGTGTGTGTGTGTGTGTGTGTGTGTGTGTGTGTGTGTGTGTGTGTGTGTGTGTGTGTGTGTGTGTGTGTGTGTGTGTGTGTGTGTGTGTGTGTGTTGCACTGACCTGTGATCTTGGGGATGCCCTCCAGGGTGGGCACAGGGAAGGTGAGGATGACACCCTGACTTGTCCCCACCCACAGCAGGCCCTGGCAGATCAGCAAGCTGGAGACACACATTTCACCTGGAATATAAACACACATCGCCCAATAACATTACAATCATTACTGTTGACACAGCAACGATACAGTCCTTTCATCCAGGAACCACTGCATTGTCATGGCTGCTACCTCTGCTTTTATCAATGCTTTTACTTATAAATGTCTTTTTTTATTACTGCAGTGAGAGATGCCAACGGATCTGTGAACAGGACGACATGACAGTGTACAAAAGTCACAAAAAATGATTTATCAGATTATTTACCTCTATAAAGCTCATGGCTCTAATGCTGAGCTGCAGCATGCAATTAGGATTTATTTTAGTTCTAAGCATGAGATTAAATGTGTGTGATACGGTAACCGTGTCTGTCCGCGTGGATGTTAACCAGCGTCCTGGCCTTGCCTGTTGTCAGATGGGCGGTGCGGGTGGAGATGTTGACTTCCTGTAGATGTTCCAGGGTCTCTGTGTGAAACAGGTGGATAGAGGATCCCTGGGTGAAGGCCATCCACACCCCCCCGCCTGAGCGAGTCATATGGCTGACACTGCGTCCTGGATCAGAATGGGCTCTGAAACTCTGAGAGAAGAGAAGAGAGGTGCTCAAATATCACACAAACCCATGTGGAATAATTTGTGTGCCATGTTTATGTGTTATTATCATAGACTGTATATATGGTTATTATCCACAAAGGCAGACCATTTAATCACACCCATTGCTTTGAAGACACATGTGGCAGAATGTTATTGTTTTGTACACTTCTGTTCATCATGTTGTTGGTTAGTTAGAATGTTCGGTACCACTTTACAATAAGACTACCCTTATAAATGGTTTACGAATAGTTTGTAATTAATGTATTAATTAGGTTGTGAACACTTTATAAATCATTAATAAGCTTTTATAAGACATGAGATAAACAGGGCAACGGTGACCGGTTGCTTGCCAAATAGTGAGCCCACATTTATCTGTACTGCTAAGCCTTATTAGAAATGGTAGTAACTCATTAATAAATGGGAATGTGTTTTACACTTTACAATAAAGCTCCCTTTTGGCAGTTATAAATGTTAGTAACTCGTAAATAAATGGTCATAAAGAGATGCCAAGAAACATCAAGATGGAAGGGGGGAATCTACTCAGTGAACAACAGATACTAAGAGGCGCATTCACACCGCAGTACTTTTCCCACAAAGGTTCATGAGAACTTAGTTCATGAGAACTCTTTTGTCGCGTTCACACCAAAAAGAGCCGGTACTAAAATTAGTTCATGAGAACCTTTCCACCCCCTTTTACGTCCCTGCTAGAGAGCAGGGACTTTCGTGGGAGAAAAAGGTTCCTATTTCTGACTGGCTGGGCGGAATGCAAACCACGCCCCGTAAAACTCCCAAAAAGTTTTGTGAAGCCGCCATTTTATTATCCTCGCATTAGCATTATTAGCATTAGCATTAGCCCAGCGCAGAAACGCAGAGAGACTAACTTATGGCAACACAAAATAAAACATGGGAGCGGTGGAGATGAGGAGGTCTCGGCGTTCTGGCGATTTACTCGGAAGGCTTCAGTAGAAGCTGCTCGGAGTCCCAGCAGCTTCTACTGAAGCCAGTCCCCAACTCCGGGGACTTCCGGCCGGGGACTTTGGGCGGCAGTATACGCCGTGAAGTTGTTTGCGGCCTGCCAGTAAACCCAAAGCAGAAGAAGAAGAAGTGACGTCAGCGGCTCATTTGCCTAATCCACCCACAGGGACTTATGTGTGAACGCGATCTGTACTTAGTTCATGAGAACTAAAGAGTTCTCATGAACTAAGTTCTCATGAACCTTTGTGGGAAAAGTACTGCGGTGTGAATGCGCCTAAGGATGCTGGCTGATGAAGAAGACGAAGTAAGCTAGTGCCAATATAAGGCTTAGTCATCTTGCCAAATAGTGCGCCTGTGTTGATGTATGAAAACTATGTTAGAACTGGTTTATAAATGGTTCTTAATGATTAATAAAGTGTTTACAACCTAATTAATAACCTAATTATAAACCCTTTATGAATCCCTTATAAGGGTAGTCTTATTGTAAAGTGGTACCGAATGTTCTTTATCAAACTGAAAGCCTGTTGTTACTATTTCATAAGTTGCCTGACTGGGATCATTTTGAATAATCATTAAATCCACAATGAAGAGGATCTAAAGCAGGGTTGCCAACTTTGGGGTTCCTGGCTGGAGTGAGATTTTGATATCATGGGTTTGATTACACATATGCGCACGAAATGACTGCTATCGTGTCAGTAGCGGGACCTTAGCATATAGGATACATATACAATATATACAAATACACAATATTGGACACAGACTATAAAGGGCACAAAGTCTCATTCACTAATGAAAGTCAAACACATGTTTGTTTCCACCGTTTTATTGTGTGCCTGTCGCGATAAGCAATTCATTGACTTATCGTACGATAAATAGAAATGAACTCGATACATTGCCATTTACATGAGGATGTGACTAGCAGTTTGAAAGGATGTACTTCATTTCATTTCATTTCATTTCATTTCAAACCTTTATTTAGACAGATAGGTCCCTTGAGATCATGGATCTCTTTTACAAGGGAGACCTACATCAATTTAGTTCCACATGAAATATAAAAACAACATAAAAACAAACAATAGAGGACATCATATTCACCAACACTTACAAACACCCATAGTGTCAGAAAGCATCTCGTGCAGACGTGCCTTAAAAACATTCAGAGAAATAAAATTGCTCAATTTCAATTTGGACTGTAGGCTGTTCCAAGCAAGTGGAGCTGCGCACATAAAAGCTGTCTTACCTAAGAGTCTTAGACAGTCCTTACTCTTGGTACATCTAACAAGACTACATCCTGCGATCTCAGACAATAGCTGCTTGCAACTTTCTGCTTTACCAGAGAACAGATGTAATACGGGAGTTTACCCAACATAGCTTTATAAATAAAAGTGTACCAGTGACTGAGCCTCCGTACAGAGAGTGATGGTAAACCTGCCTTGGTATACAGGGTACAGTGCTTTATAATTTGTGACAAATCTCAGAGCACTGTGATACGCAGCATCCAATTTGCTCAGGTAATTGGCAGGTGCATTCATATACAACAAATCACCATAGTCCAGCACAGGTAAAAAGGTCACAGTGACTAGCCTTCTTGAATTACTGTTATATATTATCATTATGTCAGTGGTCTAAAATGGCCATACAACGGTGCCGACAATATTATCGTTTATCGCAATAATTTCCTGGAAAATGTATCCAACAAAATTAATTATCGTGAGAGGCCTATACATAAAACACACACACACAAATCTACAGACTTACTCCAAACTGCCAAATATATTAATTAACACACTCTCACTCTCATACTCTGACTCTATTTTGGCCTAGTAGAACAATAAGCAGCAGACTTTACTTTTTATCATTTCTACCGGATCTTAGGGTCGGCAGTATTTTTGTTGGGTCTTCTATGGTAGGGCTAACCCATACAGTGGTGGGGCTCAAGTCAGTATTTGCAATGTAGCCTAATTACATACCCGCCCCCTTGACAGTGAAACGCCACGCGGGAGGTTTAGATTATTTCCCTGTCTCAATCCAAATTGAACTGTATGAAATAAAAAGGCACATTTGTCTTGTAGTAAATAAAAAGGACGACCTGGAGCCAATCCTGCAATTTCCCCACAAGTGAAAGAGTTGACGTGCTGAAAACCCAACCCCTGCAGGGGGGTCTGGGGGGATTCTCCCCCAGGAGATTTTTTGAAATACTAACATAAAATACACATTCTGGTACTCTCTTGAGAAGAGAAATAAATAAATCTATTATACACATTTAAAAAAAAAATGAATGCCATTTTAGTTTGTTGTTACTTTGTTCTGAAAGCTGAACCTGCTGCTCCTCACAGAGAGAAGAGGGGAGAGGCTGTGAATGACTTTACATTGTGGATAAGGGTGGATAGCCCCCATTGTTCTGTGTGCTAAAATGGAAGACAGCCCACACACCTATCAATCATCAAACCGTGGAGTCTTATTTCATTACGTGTTGGTTTCTATCAACACGTAATGTTGTATCGATGTATATAGAGATGTACTACAGCAAAAGTATTCTCCGTCGGGACTTCCTGCAACAACACCATGCCGTTATCTTGATTCTGATTGGCCAGAAGACATTATCAAAGATGTTCTATTAAGAAGTCGATCACTACGTAACAAAAGTTTTCAAAACCATTTCTAGTCTTCGGTATTCTTGTTTTTGGCGTGAGAATAGTTTGGGCAGCGTGAGAGCGTGAGATTGAGAGTGAAAGCGTGTGTCACACGCCAGATGCGTGAGAGTTGGCAACCCTGATCTAAAGCCAATGTAAAAAATTGGCAACAAATAGAAACTGAAGAGTCACTCCACTAGCTAGGATGAGGCACATAAACTGTTTATCTGAGAGCAAACATGACTAAGTAATGCTGAAGTTAAGCTTTCAGCTGCTGCAGTGCCTCGCACCATGTGCCTTAGGTCGGCCTAGTTTTAGAAAAAGCTTTTTAACATGAACCTGTGCAACAGAGCAGAGGTGAAACATTTCTTAAGCAAACCATTTGAAGATGTAGTGACTCTGCCAATGGTGGCATCATTTAAATGAGCATTTTAACAACATGGTATATTTGAAAGAACGGGACAGCTTAACAATAACTACAGTCACTCAGTCCAGAGGAGATTTCTGCCTTTCTTCGTGTTCATCCACTCCACAGCTTCTACAGTTAGCTGTCTAGGAGTAAACCTGTATTTTAGCAGTGTCACAAACACTGCCCGGCACTGCGGCATCAGAGACACAGCTTGTGAGGGCCGGCTGATGCAGGCTGTGTACTACTGTATAACATGTGGCATTCAGTGGTATGAAGTAGTGATGTGTCGGTCGCGAACGAGCCGGCTCAAAGAGCCGGCTCTTTTAAGTGAACGACCGGAGCCGGCTCTCGCCCGCAAACGAGCCATTTTTGCGGAGAGATCGGCATGAAGGCACATTATGCAATGTGCACATTATCCCGCTTATTACACATGGCCACATTCTCAACAAAGTAACAATATGACTCCCAATATTAATGGAAATGCTTTTATGGATTTAGAAAATGATTTTATTGATTTAAAGAATAGTTTTATGTATTGATTTAAATTGACATGCATCCGCTAAGAAAAGTAGTCCGTTGTTACTGTTTGAACTAACGTAGCAACGGCAGGAACTGCGTCGATAGTGTTTTTGAGGAGCTTTTTGATTACAGATTTGAAAACATCGTTGCTTGCTTTAAAAGTAGCACAATTCATGATGTCAAACCTTGGAAAGTATCTAGATATCCCTGCCCTAATGCCAAAGTAACTGGCAACTGAATATGTGTCGCCGTTTGATGTCTATGTCTGGACCGCTGCGTAAAAAGGAGGGTTTCTGCCCCATTACTTCTCTTCTTACTTCTATAAGAATAAAACACGGAGGACGGAGATCTCTTTTTCTCCCCCTCTTCTGACAGCCCAGCAGCTGATCTCACAGCACGCTCCCCTCTCCTGCAGAGGGGCGTGGTCAGCTGCAGCACACAGAATCAGCC